TTTCGTCCGGAAATTATTGAACCAGACTCTAATTATCAAAAGATTCGATTCTCACACATTTTCTACAAAAATGTTGTTCACAAGATTTGAAATGTTCCCCCCAAAATGTTTACCCTTTTTTTGAAATAAGCAACTAAATAATCCAATGGAAACACTTGAAGGCCTATTTTTTTGTTAAAAAATAATTTTTGAATCATCGAATTATAATTTTCCTTATTTTTTTAGTCAAATTCAAATTTTAATTATTAGATGTTATTAATTTCCAGTATTTTTATATTGGAACGATTTACTGAAAAATTCCTGTTAAAAAATTAATACATTGTTGTTGTTGTTTTGAATCAATCCAATGTTACATTTTGTTAAACAGAGAGTTAGAAAAATTCATTCGAATAGAAACAAAAATTTCAAAATCAAATCATTATCAGTTTTTACAATCAAAAAAAATTTTTTAGTAAAAAATAGAGAAAGAAATAAAAAATACTTCACAAAAAAACAAATATTTAAAAATTGATAAATAAACAAATCTCTGCATTGAAAACAACAAACCATGAAAACAGAATAAAATAATTAAGACATTTATTTTATTAACTTAAAATCTAAACAGAAATTATTTTAATTTAAAAAAAATATCAAAAAAAAAATTTAAATTAAATTAAAATTAATTTCCTTTTATATTCAACTAATACTAGTTAACTAACAAAGAAATAAAATATATACGTATAGGGGGGTGGTGAATATTAGCCTAAGGCTCAATGAAAATAGTTATTGTTGTTATTATTTTTACTATAAAAAAATTAAACATAGACACAGTGACAATTTGGTGGGGGTAGAGAAATAAAACCAAAAACAAGAGAATTAACAGGACATCAGAACTGAGGAATAGTAATAGAAGAAATAGTAGAGTTGTATTATTGGTGGAGGCAGTCATCATCATTAACATTCCAAACCGTTGGTTATTCTAATGGTAAACAAACGTATTGCCATAGTAATAACACATACACACACACAACAGTTGGAGGTGGAGAAGAGGAAGAAGAAGATTAACGTTTCATACTCATCGTCATCATCACCAACGATCCATATCATTAGCCATGGTCATCCATCATCATTCTTCGCATTTCCATTACTTTCTCTATTTCTTTATGATCAAAAAGGCCATCATCATCTTCGTGGGTATTAGCATAATAAGAACTTCCATATTTAAGAGATCGGGCAACCGTAGCCCCTTCACACAACAGCGCCTCCTCTCATGTTCCCAGTGATATATTTTTTTAAGTGCGGCAGAACAAAATTGTTTAGAAAAAAGTTCCATCAATATTTGAATTTAATTTTTTTTAATTAAAAAAATATGAGAAGAATTTGGTATCTCACCAGAGCTTTTTTGGACTAATTTCCGTTGCATATATAGTAAGTATTGCTATGGATGTTGTAGTGAGTGTGTGTGTGTGCGTTTAAATTAATTATGCTGCTGTTTTACCTATAATCTTTGGTTCTTATGATTATTTCCTCATTTTTTTTTTGGTTTATAAACAAAAACATTTTACTATTAATTAATTGTAATTTTATTGTTTATTCCATATATGTATATATTTTGATTAATTTGTATTTTGTATGTATTGTAGGTGGTATTGATTTTGAGTATTTTATTTTAAATTCCATTTTATCTCATTTTAAGTTTTTCTAGGTAATGAACATTTGATTGGTATAATTTGATATAAGTATATATATATATATATATTTAGATATATATAGCAAAAGTTTGCCTTGAAATATTTTAGCTAGAATTTTTTATAAATTTGATTAATCTGATTTTATGGATTTATACACAGTGCCTTAGTTTTTCTTTTTTGTAAATTTAGCGATCTGAAAATAGATATGGGGTCAAAATACTTAAAATGGGGGGGGAGAATTTTTATATTGGGTTATATGTGAATATTTCATACATATTTAATATTTTTTGTAAATATGTTTTACCCTCCATTAAAACCGGAATGCCAAATTACAGGCACTTCGGTTGAAAAATTGCACTTAGCAGAATTAAAAATGGGGCGCAGCCTTCTATTGGGCGTTATGTCAACACATGGATCTATATTTAAAAAATGTTTTTCATCCTCCAAGAAACCTGGCTACAGTCTCAAATGCTATGGCTACAGTCTCAAATGGATAAGAACGCTTTAGAATACCGAAATATTGGCGGTGTTGTTATATGACGACAATTGAGCGATATATAATTTTCAATTACAAACATTCTGAGAGTAGTAGAAATCTATATGCAAAATTTCAAAACTCTATCTTAAATAGTTCGGCCTCTATCGTGTTTTCAACAGACAGGCAGACGGACTAAATCGAAATGAAAAATTCCTATTGGGGATAAAAGATTTTGATGAGCATGTGAAATCCTCGGTCCAAAATTTGTATACCCTTGATTTTGGATATTCAAAATACCCAAAATGGATCTGAACAGTTTTATATTCGGGTTATGTCATGTTGAATTTTAGATAGAGATATTTGACACACAATTTAAATAAAAATATCAAACCATAGCGAATTCGATTAAAAAGCGTACCCCAAATACCAAATAATGGTATTTAGGGCGCCGAAACTTATGTCAATCCTGATAGTTTTTGTTAGAGAGATTGTAACCCTCCTCTGGACGGTCTGGCCTTCTATACAGACGGATCCAAGATGGAAGAAGGTACTGGGGCAGGCGTCTACTGTGAAAGGTTAGGCCTTGAGTTAACCTACAAGCTGGATAGCAACTGTAGTGTTTTCCAAGCTGAAATCTTCGCGATCTGGAAGGCAGCGGAATTGACAAAAAGTCTGGTTGAACCAGTGACTATCTTTGTGGATAGTCAAGCGGCTCTTAAAGCCATCAAATCTTGTCACATCAAATCCGAAGCCGTCCTCAAGTGTAGAACAGCTCTGGAAGAACTTAACCATTGCTATCGGTTGTATTGGGTACCAGGACATTGTGACATCTTGGGTAATGAAAGAGTGAACGAACTAGCTAGACGAGGACCTCAATCCACCGATCTAGAAACTGATGACTCAATCAAACCACCCATATGTTTTTTCTATAGGAATTTTGAGGCATTCTTTGACGAAATAGTGAACTTTGGCACAACGAACCTAGGTGCAACGTGTCAAGATCCATCAGGCCGACTCTGTCTACCAAAATAACGCACTCTCTATTGAACCTGAGCAAAGCTGAAATTAGAGTGATGACGGGAATCATCATTGGTCACTGCAACATCAAGCCTTTTACTAGTAAATGGGATCTTGATGCAATTGATTACTGTAGACTCTGTGTTGACGAGGAGGAGACGGAGACAATTGAGCATCTCCTGTGTCATTGCCCAACCCTGGCTTACAGGCGACACAGACTGTGCTCATTTTCTATCGAGTCTCAGCTTCTTCTCAACAACCGAACCTGCTCTAATTTACAGCATAATTAGAAACATAAAGTGGTTAGGAGCATACAACCTTGGCATGTAACACATCTTCTGTCTGACTCGTAGGGCCATCGACCTTCATTCTTCACTCCTTTAATTTACTAATCTTCTCTCCCCTATAGATCTGTCTTTGGTCTCTTCTCTTCACTGTATCTCTTCTTGTGGATGATCACAACGGACCTAACCGGTCTCAGAGTATTGCAGTCACACATGTGACTGCACATCCCCAAACCTAACCTAACCTAGAGAGATTGTCTACCTTATTATAATCCAAAATAGAAAATTTCAACTAATTCGCTGAAACACATGCCCAAGCCACCAAAATACCTAAATTCTCATATTATCCTGATATGGGGGCTTCCCTAAAAAATGACCAATATTAATAATTTTAGACAAAAAGATTTCTTTCCTATTTAGGCTCCATAATAGCAAGTTATAAAATTGGGCTGTACTGTTATATGAGGCCTATATCAAAACATTGACTGATATGTCCCACTTACAATACCAACAAATCTAGTAGTAGCATAGATCTGTATTTAATATAGCGAGCTTTATTATGATTTCAAAAGACGGACGGACATGACTAATTCGACATCAAATTTTATTCAGATCAAGAATATAGACTTTATCGGGCCACCAATGAATATTTCTTGAAGTTGCAAACGGAATGACGAATTTAAAATATCCTCCATCTAAAGGTGGAGGGTAAAAAAACGATTGTTGAAATTCAAAAACAAAAAAAAAAAAAATTATGGGCAATCCAAATGGGCATTGTGGATCGGATAACTATTACAATGAATCGGGCAGCACTTTTTAATATTAGGGAAGAAATTTTACTTTAAAATTCAATTTCGAATAATTTGTTTCCCACTAAGAATTATTTACAAAAAAAAAGAAAATACTCCGCTCTATAAAATCCATTTGTAGATAAATTTTTAGATTCCATAAAATATATACGATTTTTATTGATAATAAAAAAATATTTTTTTTTAATTGTTAAATGGGATAAAATGATATGTGAGTTTTCATTACGTTTCCAAACAAAACAATACACCTATCAAAAATAAATACAATACAATATTTATAATTCACAACAACAAATTATGACTAAAAATATATATGTTTTTGTTTGCAAGAATATATAATAAATATATATTTTTAAATATATAAATTTATATTGTTTTTAAATACTTCACATCACTTAAAATCTAGTCAAAATATATATGTGTGTGGGTTTAAGCAAATGAGAAATCAATGTATGTATATAAAAAACAACAACAAAATAACTATAAATATATTAATATTTCCACTAAATATTATGTTTAACTACTCGTTTTATTTATTTTTTTGGTTATTTATTATTTGGTTGTTTCTTTTTGCGCTGCAAGAAAATTTGAATATTTGTTGTTTGTTTTTGTTCTGATACGTTTAAATGTAGATTTTTTTGTTTTGTTTCTAAGAGCAGTCCAATTTTTGTTTTGGCATGTTTCATAATAAATAGAAAAGTAATTATTAGGTATAAATATTCGAGTTTTTGTTTTCTTATAAATATAAATAAATATTGTGCTGTTTGTTTTTTGAATATGTATTTTCTTATTTTTATTATTATTATTTATTATTGGCCTTCGATAGTTGACTCTGGGCCGATGAGGTCAACTTCGAGACAACACGTGTGAGAGCACGATTTTCAGCACGTAAACGTTCGTTCTCATTCTTTAACTTCTGTAGTAGCTACAATAACAATTAGAAAATAAAATCAAAGAAATGTGGAGAGAGACAGAGAGAAATAGAAAGAAAACAAAAACGCAAGATAAACGAATGCATGAATTTTGTGGTACATGATTGATTTGATATTCGAAATCAAAATATGATACAAAATCAAAAGAGAAAATGAACCAAAAATAAATGCATGGGTATTGGGGGGAATGGGGGTGGTGATAATGCTGATAACACTATGCCAACTTCATTTGGAAAAACACACATTTTTGATTCAGACAAAAAATATTTTAATTTTTTTAAATTAAAAAAAATAAATTTTGTTGCATAGTGTTATTTCCAAAATACAACAAAATTTCATTGCATTATTTGGTGTTGGAAACGAAAAAAGCTTGAAATTTTATAAATGCTCTTCTTTTTTATATAGTGCCTGAAAGTATGCTACAATATTGTTGTTAAATGAATAAACCAACGACATGACAGGGAAATGAATGTTTCCATGTTTCAAATCAAATAAAAAAGCACGCAAATGGACAATTTAATTAATGGTGGGGAGGATAGGGAAGAAGATGACACATTGGATGTAAGACGTGCTGGGAAAACTAAAACAAAAACAATATTTATGTGTAACAAATTAAAGAAAAAAAATAACATAAAAACTCAAATAACATATAATTATATTTGTGTGTTTTTTTACAAATTAAAACAACAACAAAAGTGTGGACAAGTAACAGAATATATAATCACACACACAATAATCAGGTGGGTGTTGGGGAAAACGTTGAAGCGCTGCCTTTCTTCCAACTATATACAAAATATGATGTAACAAAAATCAAATGCATTTTGTTGATGTTGTTGTTGCTGTTGTATACTGATTATTATTTGTTTGTTTGCTTCTTGTAGACGACTTAATGTCTATGATGTCTAGTTTGTTTATAATGATCATTAAGTTATGCTGATGAAGATGTTGATATGATGATATGATGTTGATGATGAGCAGGGTGATATATTTTTATATGAATGGATGGATGGATAGATGACAAATGAGATGACACATAATAGTTGACAAGACGCACACGTACACACATAGAAACATCGACAAAACTCAAAAGTGATTAGAAATAATGTGGAAATGACAAATGGTTGATGAAGTGTGAAAAAAAACGAAATTGTTTCTATTTCTTTGACTTGTTTTGCATTCAAAATTCGTACTTTTTTAGAAAAGAAATTGTGCTAAGAACTATCTAAAAGATTATATTAAAATGTTTAATTAGAAGAAAGTTGAAATAAAAAGAAAATATTTTAAATCTAGTTTAAAAATGTTCTTATAAGTAACAAATCTATCTTACAAGACAAATATTTTAATGGATTTTTTTTTTTTTTAAGAAAATCCACGTCCTCAACTTCGTAACAAATTGGAAGACGACATCAATATATAAAAAACGTTTGACCTAAACTAGCAAATGTATAAATTAGTTTGAAAACCTTCATCACGGCAAATTTTTGATTAAACCAGATAACGCCAGAGGTTTTTCTTCAAAATCCTAAATTTAATATTAAAACTTGAATATTATTTAATAAATAAATATTTTCGTATCAAATTTTGTTTTGGAATGAAGGTAGAAGAGTATAGAGCAAGATACAAGAAACAAATAATGTAATTTATAGAAATTTTCTGAAATAACGGCTATTTTCCAATAGTGGTTCTGCCAGTTTTGGTGTCCTTTTAAAAGTACGGTGGCCTAATGAGTTAAGGACAAGCATATAGAATTTTCTAAAGGTCTTGTAATGATAAGGCTTATCCATAGATAAGAGTTATTAACCAATTAAACAATATTTCAACGATACATATCAATGATCTTCTGAAAAATGAATTCTTCAAGATCATGTATCAATGGATAACTAAATTTTAAAGGCCGTATATATTTATGAGAAAATTTCACAGACATTGGTAAATAATTTGAGGTGTTATTTAAAAAAAATATATACCCACTATTGATATAAACGCTTCTGAATTGAGGTGGATCTAAAGATCTATAGGTTGGAGTATGTCGAAATATCTTCTATATACAGAATATAATTTATAGGTTTATTATAACTCGTAATGATTGGTGCTTCAACTGACGTTTTTAGGATCGTGACATGTAACAAAACCTCGATCTAGACCCCTAAGCCAAACGGGATAAATCCAAAAAAAGTTTGTTTGTGGGGAGAGCATTTCGAAGCAAATGGTCGTCTGTTTCTATGACAAAATTGGTCATGAGGCGACTGCTCCGCTTGAGTAACCAAGGAAGGTAAATTATTAGTGTTAAATCATTAGTGGTTTGCCTGAAATCTGCATAAAAATTCGAAAAACGAACAAGAGAAGACAAATCATTGTGCATCATGACAATGCGAGCTATCACACATATCGGTTATATTACGTCCAGCACCGAATGACTTAGTTTTATTACCACTTAAGATGTCGTTGAAGCGTTCAAGCCCCATGTTTGGAGGTGTGTCGATCGGTGTAGAAAAAATTGCTCCCACAATAGGTTTGTGTACAAATGATATATTTTTATTTCATTTTCAAAGTAAACATTTAAGCACTTTTGGTGATTCGCCCAGAAAACCCACTAATGGTGATTGTTTCAATATCTTCTTTTTGTAAAAAATTGAAGCAATTGTGAGGGACGATTTTGAAAAGTACGGTGGTTTTTAATCTGATTTAAACGTTATGAGGGTATTTGTTGTAAAATCACATTAGACAGGTATTGGATCTCTGAAATGTTAAACAGTTAGATACTCTCAAAAAATATTTTCACTTTGAACAATGTATGAATAAGAGTTTCTCCAACTAATTATTAAATCCGAAATATTCTAATGATGGTATAACATATTTTAAATCTCATTTCCCCCTTAGAAAGGCATAGTTTCTATTAACGGTTTTAGCACATAAGTAAATTGTATATTAAGGTCAAAAGTACGAATTACAGTGTAATCTCCAAATAAATTGTGTATCACATACAAATGGTGATTAATTGTGTTTCATTTTGTAAAAAAAACTTCCATAGTTTAGATTTTGTACTTGGAGGTAAATATACATAAAAAACATTTGCGATATATACAAGTACGTATAGAATATAAAAAAGAAGAAAATATACTTTGTAGTGTGTACAAAGTCTATGCTTGTATAAACAATTTGTTTTTTAGAGCACAGCGGAATACAAAAAAACAAAAAAGACAAAAAAACAATACAATAAATTATCGTTGGGCAAATAAAGGCAAAAAACAAGAAAGCAAAAGCCACATCTTTTGCACAGCAAAAATGAATACAATTTGGGGAAAAATAAAAATACATTTATTATTTTTCAATTGTAAACACACAAAGGCAGCAGAGAGGGTTCAAAAAAGACGGCGGCGTTGGCAGCAGCATTATTTTTGGTAATTATTTCTTATGCTTTTCTTAAATCGTTTAAGTAGTATTTGGCAGTGTTATTTCAAAAGTGTTAAAAAAAAACAAAAAAAAATTGTTTTTGCATATTGTTAAAAGTGAAATAAAAATAATAAAAAAATAACAGTATTTTGCATTGGTGACAAAGGGAAAAATAGTAACAGAACAACAATAAAGTGATACAATTGAAAAAAGGAAAAACAAATTATAATAAAAAAAACCGTGAGGAGGAAGAACAAATGTTTCCTTCCTACCACACAACAAAAAGCTATTTACCTTGAGCTCTTCTTCCAATTCGGAAAGTTTTCGTTCCATAGCTCGCCTTTCGCGCTTTTCAATCTCTGACAGAGAATTTTTATTTGTCTGCAAAAATTCAATATTTGCAAAGAAGAAGAAGAAGAAAAAACAAAACAAAAAAAAATTGGTTTGGTGGTTGGTTTTGGTTGCATCAATTGTTGTGGTGAATTAATTTGAAAGGGGTGTTGTGGGCTCATTGTATAAATACCAAAAAATAAATTATAAAACAGTGTATATTTACAGGGATATGTTGTGTATAGATTTCAAATTGACCAAGCTTCAAGAAAATGAAGAAATTATAAACAACTGCCAACAAAATTGTGGGGAAAAATATATGGAAATTGCCTTTTTGGGCTGCTTCAAGAACTCCCAAAGAAGTTTATTATCTTTCAGCCTAGCAAACATTTTTCAACACAATTTTTAAACCCAAAGACTTGAAACCCAGTAGTATAAGAGAGAAGAAAGCGCCGCAGATTTGTTTGCTATTTGTAGCCTTTGCCGCTTTTCCTTAATAAATAAAGTTTCTTTAGTATACACAGAAAAAACCCTTGAACCCTTTATAAATAGAAGGCCGTTTGGAGAAGAATTCTTAAAAAAGTACATTTGGAAGAGATTTTGAAATAAAAAAAATCCCAAGATATCTTGGAGCTCTCCTAAGTGTAGAAAACCATATCTATTCTGTAGATAGAGGTAATTTTTGGTGCATTATATGAGACATTTAGGAAGGAAGGAAATGAAAGAATACAAAATTAATCTTTGGAAGTCTTATATAAATCGACAGATCTTGTAATGGGCAATTTAGAATACCATATATTTACCTGTTACGCATAGAATACCTTTTAAATATCTTTACAATGGATCTTATTGCAATTGAAGGCCTGCTGAGTAACACGAACAACAAAAAATTCACAAAGGATCAATCTCCATAAACTGGTCTTCTAATGGTCTTCAATTTATAAACTTCAACAAAAAATCCTTTGCAAAGAAGAGAATAAGACTCTCCCACGAAAGATATCCCTAAAAATTATAAATCTATATATCTGGATAAACAGACGCCTTACTAGGGTTCTTTAAACTACATTTTATTTGGTCTGGAATATGTATCGAATATCGTGTAATTATCTCTACAATGGATATACTCTCAATATCGTGAAATTATCTCTACAATGGATATACTCTCAATAGAAGACCTTCAAGTATTTGCTATTAATGAAAAACTTTCCAAAGATTCTATCAAGAGAAAACTATCAAAGGGTCTTCCTTCCATAAACTGGTCTCCAAACGATCTTTTACCTGTGAAGAAGTGTGTTCTATGGGTAAGATTCGTAAGTCCGCCAATGTGTATTCTTACTACAAAAAAGAGCTCTCAAGAAGACCCTCCCACAAAAGATCTCCTAAAAGTTATCAATGTACAATGGGATTTCTAAAGATAGAATAGCATATCATTGTAGATAGAGAGAATAGCATAGTCTTTGAATTTAATTTGAAGATAATCTAGAAATAAACTGACCACTATAGGGTCTTATATAGGATATGGTGACCATAAAAAAACTCCAATTTCGTTTCTATCTACATAAAATAAGATCTCTTAAAGGTCTATCATATATAAGACTTCTCTGTAGAAGGTCTTCATATTTGCCTTATCGGCGATCTTAATTATATAGAAGACTGGTCTGATATATACCGAAGACGCATCCCCAGTTTTCAATTAAAAAATAAGCCAAAAAGGCCACTTGTCCACGGCAGACTACTGAAAATTATTATGTACTTAAAAATCCTATTAAAGGTTAAGGACATTTTTGAACACTTCTAGAAATCCCTTAGAATTAAGCTTGGCCTCCTTCAACCTTAAGGAGATTCTTTAAATATATATATATATATATATATTTACAGAAAGGAAGGTATAAAAAACGTCAGCAGAACTCCTTTTAAAGACATTAATTTATATTCTATACATTGTTTTTCGGAAGGAAGGATTTTTCTACATAGATGAAAGTCTTCCATTAAAAAATATATTTTCTGTGTATACTTAAAAGAAACTTACAAAATATATATAAATAAAATATAATAAAATTTTATATTTATATACATCTTTATAAGGAATTTCCTTTTTTTGGTAACCTTCCATAGGTATTGTCTGACACCATGATGTCGATTTGTGTCAATTGCTTTGTGTAAATGTAATCATGTAGATATTTAATATGTATTTACATTTTCAAACAAAAATTTTGTATTAAAAAAAAATAATACATAAAATGTATTAAAATTCCCTCACATAACCAAACCCTTAAATAGGGATTCTTTTTGTAAAATGGTAGACCCAAAAAATAAGCCATTTTCTCTGAACAAAATATTCAACAAAAAATGTTTTGTACTTACAGCATTAGCAAATCTTTCCAATGTGGCACGTGTCTGTATAACTTCTTCGTCTTTCTTCTTTAGCTGTGCTCGCAATTTTTCATTTTCCAATCTGTAAAGAAATACAAAGAAGTATACAAATTATATCGACAATTCTTTTAAAATAAAATAAAAACGCATTGGAATAGACCACATTTTCTTCTCGCATCCATGATTTTGAATGTGGCGGCCATGAATTGACTACTTACTTGACAGCTTCCCACAATGCCTTGTAATCGATATTATCACCACTGTTCTGTTCTGTTTTGTCGCGTGTCTTCTTATCATCTGTGGCCGAACTGGTCGATGTCGCTACCGACACTGTACTGCCGGCACGTGATCTTGAAGCACGATTTTCACTACCGCTCTGGAAGATAAAAAAAATAATTCAATAATAGTTTATTAGGGTGTGGAGATAATAGTCTAGAGAAATATTATATAATAAATATACTCGTATATGTGACTGCAAATTTCTTTCATCTCCCATAGATGTAAAATTGGAAAACTTACAGAAAATTAATTTTTAAAAATTTGAACTAGCCTATGTTCAGCCAATGACCTCTCCAGAGAAGACATTTTGAGCTATAGAAGACTTTTCAAGGGAATTTTAGTAGACCTTTTTAATGAATTAAGACCTCTGATAGGGCTAAGGGACAATATATTTTGTGATCTATAGACCTCTTGAAAACAGATTTTTTGCGGCCTTCAATAGATAGTTTTGAGGACTTCTATGGATAGAAATAGGGTATGCGGTATTTAAGGCGGATAGAAAAAGGACACCAAGGCAAGATGTTTAGGGTTGAAGAAATCGAATAGGTCGGATAGGCTTAGAATACCAGGAAAACATTAAGATATAGATAAACTGGGACAGATGTCGGATTTTTTAAAGGACCTCTGAGGATCCTTCTCTAAGAATGTGAGAAATTTTCTTGAAATTCTCGAAACTAGAAAACAATCTCTACTTCAATAATTCAGATAAGTTTTCAATAAAATATGTCCTCAGAGGGACCTTCTCAAATATATATTTTAATTAATATATTTGAGATGACTGAAAGGCCTCAGAGGAGTCTCTTATGTATGGAAGACATCTAATGGCCTCTTAAAAGAGACCCTTATGGGGGTCTTCTTTAATTTTCAACAAAGATTTTCGAAATTTATAGTAGTCCTCTCAGAAGGATTTCCGAGCAGTCTGCTACAATTTAGAAAGACCTCACAGGCTTCCAGACATTTTTGAGAGGTCTGCTCTTCATCGAAGATCCTCCATTGGTCTTCTACACATAGAGAAGATATTTCCACATAAGAATTTATGGAAGTTGGATGTTTCCGATTTCACATCAATCGAATTAATTAAAAAAGCAACAACAACAAGTTATGACATTTTCAATATCGTATCCCCATCCTGGCCCCCAAAAAACGTACTTCATAACCTTCACTCTTTTCCGACGAAGCACTTAGCGATCGTTGAGCTGCTGTACGTGAACGCGAACGTGTACGTGATTTTCTCTCCTGTTCACGCAACGAACTGCTACGCGATACAATGGCGGCCATGGCAGCTGCATTTGGTGTTGTCGCCGTCGAACTAGGATATGAATTTAAGCTGCTATTCGATGTCGACAATGGCTTGACCGAGTTGAGCGAGGAACGTGAACTGGAGATGTTTTTATTCAAATAGGAATTGGAATTTTTAGCAGCTGCGGTGCCCAAACTCAGAGAGGCTGTTGTTATACCGTTATCATACGACGAGGCATAGGGACTTTTGTAGCTACCGTAGGAATTGGACGAAGAAGAGTAACGTGATGTGGGGGCGGCATCATAGCCATTGGAGGAGGCTGTAGAGTTGGTCGTTGTTGGATTGCAGGGTGCAGTAGTGGAGGAAGAAGAAGCAGAATTGGTATATTGAGTTTTGAAATTGTTATCTTTGGGGGAATTATTGTTATTCTGTGACGAGGTACCTGTTGCCGATGAATTGGTACTGTTGTTGGATGAATAGAGACCAGAAGCTGTGGTTGAAGCATATGAGGGCGATGATGATTTGGATGAGGGTGATGGCGAGGCAGCATGCGGTGAACGCATATACGATTTGGGTGATGAGTGGTGGTAAGACAAACGGCCATGAGAGGACGAAGAGGAGGAGTTGGCATTTGTTACATAGGCATGATGATGATGATGTTGATGGGAGGAAGAGGAGGTCGAGGGTGGTGGTGGGGTTAGGGAAATAGTAATTGAATGATGATGAATTTGATTTTGTTGTTGTTGCTGATGATGATAATGTTGACTCTTATTTGTTACTAATGGTGATGATGATCTCGGTATTTTAGTAGCAGCAGCAGCAGCGGCAGCACTTGAGCTTTCCTTAGAGCAAGCAGCAATATATTCATGACGATAGCTTGATGTTGATGCCGATGTTTTATTACCATTCGAATAGTAACTGTTACTATTACGCGATCCCGATGAACCACTGCCATACAAATTATCACGTGATGAATATGTACTGGCATAGGGACTTTGATAATACGACGAAGACGACAAATTTGAATTGGAACCATTAGAGCCATAATATCCAGTGCTTAGGGGTCTCGACGACGAAGAGGAACCATATCCACCATTTGATGATAAACCACTGCCATATGATGATCCATTGTAGCCATTATAGCCCCCTGAACCTTGTACCCTTGAACTTGACAATGAACGACGTCGTGATGAGGAAGACGTCAAGGGTTGGCTGGCACGGGAACGTGAGCGAAATGACATGTTTGCGCTCGTTCAGGCAAGTTTACGCAAATTCAGAAAATTTCTTTCTGTTTGGTAATTTTCCAATATTTCACTAAATTTTAAAATTTAATTTTATTGGGTTTTTTTGTTTTTTGATGGTATTTATTTGAAAAATTTCTTTCTTCCACGAAATATAAAAATTTAACAACGCATTTTCTTTTCAATTTATTTTTTTTTCTTCCTGAAATAAATTATTTGTTGGTGAGTTGGTAATTTTTTTTTCCTTCTTCTTCTGCTTTTTGGGTAAACAATACGGAAGATATAATGTTTATTTTTAATAGACAACAACACGAATATTTTACGTCATTTGATCATTTGTTCGAAATTCGAAAAAGAAAGTTCCCATTATTTACATTAATTAAGCGCAAAAATTTATGGCAAAAATTTAATTACAACACAAAGGCAACCAAGAAAGAAGCGGCAACCGCCAATGGCCACAAAACATTATTTGGATAATGGATGGTGGCCATTAGAGTTTGAAGCAAGGTATGAATCTACAATATGTAAGCATGACAAAATATATAAAAACCTTTGAGAGGAAATTTTATAAACAGAATGAAGACCTCTAAATGGCTTACGGACAGAAAATATTCTGATCTATAGACCTCTAGAAAGAAGACTTTTGAGGACTTCTGTGGATATTATTATTATTTTATTATTTCGAAGAGAGCCTCAGAGGGACCTTCTCTTATATGCGAGATTTTCTATAATTTTTTAAAAGTGGAAGAAAATCTCTAAAACAAGAAAATTCTTCCTATGAGTTTTCTATAAAAAAACTGTCCTGTACACAAATAAGACCACTGAAAATCTGAGGATACTTCAGAGAGGTAATTTTGAGTGAAATACTTCAGGGAGTGAAAATTTTGAAATGTTTAATGGAACACCTCAGCTATTGACAGACTTTCAGATACACACGAAATATCTAAACGATTATGTAAAAGGAACTTCGGTGGGTTCTTATATAAGGCATTTGAGGGTTGTCTTAAGCTTAGGATATTTCTGAGAGTCATCTTCAATCTTCTATGTAAGATCATAGAAGAATCTGAGAAGTCTTGCACCATTTCGGGTGAGCAGTCTTTCCTTGTACGTGTCTTCTATACAGGGAATATATTTATTATTAAGTCACTACATCCTCAAAAAGACTTAACAGAATGCCATATATCCCCGAAATCTCTTTTTGAAGCCTTTATTTTACAGATAATACCTTCTGGTATTTTATAGAAAAACCTCTTCTGGTTTTCTATGGCGCAAGACATTACGGCCTTCAATAGGAGAATACATTCTGATTATATTCAAGATCTTTTCTGATATTCTATGGAAGAAAATCTTCGGATCTTCTATGGAAGAAAATATTGCCGTATTTATGTACAGAATAACTTTTGAAGACATTTTATACCACTGGAGGTTTTCTATACATAGAAACGATTTTTAGGGTTGAAGAAATCGAATATGCCGGATAGGCTTAAAATTCCACGAAAACATTAAGATATAGATAACCTGGGAGAAATGTCGGATTTTTTAGAGGACCTCTGAGGATCCTTTTCTCTAAAAGTGGGAGAAATTTTCTTGAAGTTCTCGAAACTAGAAGACAATTTCTATTTCAATAATTCAGATGAGTTTTCAATAAAATATGCCATCAGAAGGACCTTCTCAAATATATATTTTTTTAATTAATATATTTGAGAAGACCGAAAGGCTTCAGAGGAGTCTTTTATGGAAGATATTTAAGGGCCTCTTAAAAGAGACCCATATGGGGGTCTACTTCAATTTTCACCGAAAATTTTATTTATTTATTTTTTGGGGTCCTCTGAGAAGGATTTCCGAGCAGTTTCCTATTATTTAGAAAGACCTCAGAGACTTTCAGACATTTTTGAGAGGTCTGCTCGGCCACAATTCTAAATGTTCCAAAGAATCATTTTGTGCATATACAATCCGTGGTAGGTTTTTGTGAACAGAATATATTTTGAAGGCGATTTTCTAAAAGAATTCTGGATATATGTGATCATGTCTTTATCTATCACCCTATGAAAGAATGTTTTCCGGTCTTCCATGGAAGGACATCATCTTGTCCTTTTCGGAATGAAAACTTCTGTAGGAAGACATTTGTGTTTTCTATACTAAATAGCAGTAAATGGTTACCGGACTTTTATGGTCTGACTATTATAAAAAAGGGCTTCTTTCTGATCTTGTATGAAAAATATATTCTAGTCTTGTAAGGAAGAAGATATTCTAGTCTTTTTATCAAGAAGACCTATTCTTCTAAGGAAGAAGACCTTCTAAGGAAGGATATCTTCCAGTTTTCTAAGGAAGAATACATTCTGGCCTTCTAAGGAAGTAAACCTTCTTGTCTTCTTTGTAGGAATATTTTCTGGTCTTCTGCTTTCTGAAATTTTGAAGAAAATGATCTTCTGTTGTTATAAAGAAGAGCCAACCCTAAAACTTTAAATGTGAAGATTTTCTAATTTTCGGAAGAAGGGCCTTAGGACGTCCAGAGATGGATACCTTCAGCCTTCGGCAGTTTTCCACAGATTAAAGATATTTGGATACAAACACCTAATTATATTTTCCTATACTGATTTGACAAGGAGATTATTTGTGGTATCCATAGAATAAATGTCTCTTGACGGCCATGATGGTCTTCTACATATAGAAAATTCACATTCTATGTATGGTAGGGCCTATAGTAGTTTTTGTATCAATAAAATATTTACAGATGGTCTTCCATCTATAAAAGACCTATAGAATAGCGTCAATCAATATAAGACCCACGGATGGCCTTGATTCATTAGAAGACCTATAAAGTATCTACAATTTACAGCAGTACATTTTATAGAGAGGATATGCGATCAATTATCAACAAAGAATCCATAAACAAATTAGAAGTGAGGATCTTTTTTAATTCGATATTCACAGAGCGCCTTATATCCATAAAATACCATCGGATGGTCTCACATAATCTATTTTAGGGTCTTCTCTGCAGTTTTATGATACTCCTATACGATATATTAAATATATATTGCCTGTAATGAAGATCTACATTTTTTTTGAATACCCTCCTTTAAATTTATTGGAGACATCTCAAAACTATCCTTATATATGCAGAAGACTATCTGAATTTATTTTTCTCTGCAGAATACCTATATAGGGTTTTTATGTATAAAAGTACCTAAAAGTACCTAAAAGATTTGTACCTATATAAATCCTACATTGGATTGCCTATATATGCGGTTCTCCAATAGAGTTTTTTTTTACTTTTTCCCCAATACACCATTCACAAAACTTGTTGGTGCCTTCCAAAAATAATACATTTTCACGGTTAAGGTCATTACGTCACATTATATATGGCCCTATAAAAAACGATGAAACAAAATTAATTGCTTGACCTCGATAAAAATATTTCCACAAAATTTTGACGTCACAAAAATCCCCTACCGGCATTCGTGGAAGGCAAATTAATTGAAATGTTAAAAAATGAACATACAAAAATAAGACACGAATGATTTAAAATCTATAGCAGAATTACTGTTTATGCTACTTTGCAAAAAAAGCAAAAACGATTTATTTGACAACAGCGCCGACAAAAAACAACAACCACACAATGAAAACAAAAGTGGAAAAACGTTTTATTTCAATTTTCCTGCAGCATACACAAACAATTGACTCTCTTGACTCGGTATTTGGTTCACATGAATCACCCACGCATCATCTCTCAGAAGATAATAAAACAAACAAAAAATAAACCAAGTCAAAAGAAAATGATTTTAAAAATAAACCATTAATTCAGGAAATCACGTCAGAGTGAGTGAACCAGCGAGCGAACGAGAAAAAACGCACTGCCGAACCAAACCAAGAAAAATGCATTTGAACTCAAGCATTTTGCGGTGGCAGCCAACAAGAAAAAAATGCATCATTTAATCGAATGAATTTTGTACCGCAATATGTTTATCATTCTTTCTTCTTCTTCATATTTTCTTTTGAATAAAAAAATAGAAAAATGAATTTGTTCCAAAAAAGTAAATTGCGGCAAATGTCGCCTACAGCCTCGGTGTCTCTCGCACCAGATGCTATCAATTCAAATTTGTTCTCATGAAACCAAACAAAATAAAAAAAAAGGAAATCATATGCTCGAAATAATATCCATCATAATGTGATTGACAAAAAAGATTAATTTTTGACAAGTTATATTTATGGTTGTGTTTGTGCGATTTTTTATAAAAAATTATTTATTTTGTTTTCCTCAATTGTCATTGTAAATGTTTCAAGCACAAAAAACCTTACCAGCATGGCGAATACTTATTTTTATTCCGTTTGACGAAAAAAATGTCTTGAAGCGTTTCGAATTCAATTATTCTCTACAAAAACATTGTTTATGGAATATATAGTGAATTTGGATTAAATCCAATTGTTTCATATTTACGTTACTTTAATGGGTGATGTGGTTATATTATTATCATCCTGACGACATTTGCTTTTAAAATTAGGTTTAGATAATTTGATTTTGATTTCTATACATAGAAACAGAAGACCCATAAAATGTGTCTCATCTACTAAGTGGATAATGAAATTTATATTGGACCCAGGTGGGTATTTTTATTTTGAAGCCTATTTAAATAAAGTCTCCTATATAGGAAACTCTGTACAGATTTATTAAATAACAGATAATGGCATGTTTTTTTCACGAAGCTTAGCAACATCATTCTAGACTTATTTCAAAGCCTATACCAAAATTCGTATATATATATAAGGACTATGCTGCACCAATTACATAAAATCGGACGAAAATATATATGGGACCTATATCTAAATCTGAATCGATTTTCACGAAACTTAGTACACGTCATTCTAGACTTAATTCAGTACGCTATGACAAATTTCGTGTAAATCGAATGATTTTCAGAGACTTTGGTGCACCAATTACCTAAAATCGGATGGCAATATATGGGAGCTATATATATATATATATCTGAACAGATTTTCACGAAACT